TGCTGCTGCTGCTACTGCAGCAGTGTGCACACAGCAGACAGCAGGCGGGCTCTTGACTTGTTGTTTTGTCCTTGTTCCCCGTGGATTGCTGCTGCTCCCTTTTCCACAGCATGGGCCTGAGGAGTGCTACCTGAACAGGGTAGAAGCCTGCGGCCTTACAGTACTCAAGGAGGCGCAAATTGACGTGTAGGTTTTTCCCAGTGCAGCAGAAGCAGCCGCATCAACAGAAGCAGCATCAGTAGCAACAGCAGCAGTAAAATTACCACAAACACCAGGAGCACAGTGCGCGCACACCACATATTTTTGCCCGGCGCAGAGGGTGGACGACGTTTCCTCGGTGCGACTTGCTGGGGTTTAGCGTTTAGGGTTCGTTGGAGCGGTTGTTGCTCAGGTGGGCACCCTGGATAGATTGTGTTAACAGGAGTGAGCTGGATGCAGCCAGTCTGATAAAGGCCGAGGCGCACTTGGCTAAGGCTATCGCAGCCAGCCAGCTAGCCATCACGGAGGCGCGCCATTCAGTAGAAGCAGCAAAAGCTGCAGCAGAAGCAGCAAAACACGGGGCAGTGGGTCCTGCTGCTCGCAACGCAGCTGATGCAGCAATGGCAGCAGCAAAGGCTGCAAACGACGCGGCGATATCTTCTGCTGAAGTAACTGCAGCAGCAGCAGCAGCAGCAACAGGAGGGAAGAACTCTTGGGTAATGTGTGAGATGAACCTCCCCAGCAGCCACGCAAAGATGCTTGTGTTTGAGATTCTCGTCTGCAGCCTCACCCCTGCGGTAATATTACGCAAACCCTAATTCATCTGGTGGTGCTTGGGTGGTCAGAATGCATTGATAACACGCACGCGGCCCTAAGCCTCCCGCGCCGCAGCCTTGACCCCAGTTTGTAACGAGTCTGTTGCAGTGTAGTGCTGCATGCAACGGCCTTTTTGCCGTTTCTTTTGATGGGTAGAAAACGAAACTCACTCTGTCTCTGGGAAGGCGGTCTAGGGCTTTATCTGTTAATTTTCTAGTACTTGATTGGTATGGGTGCCAGCTTGATGCGTTGGTTCGTTGCTGCATGCGTTTTTAGGGAGAAAGAATGCAGCACCTTATGGCTGAACAGACACCGGAGCATGAACACGTGCCCTGGGTAACCGTAAACCGACAGCACTCGGTGAGTGTTTTATTTATTCACCTCCTCCTCCTCTTTCCCTCGAGGTGGTGTCGCGAGACGAAGCATTTCCATTTAGCAGTGCATTTGGATTGCGGCTTTTGGCTGGGGTGTATGTACACTTGCTGCTGCAGGCTTTAGCAGAAAAGGACCTCCGCTGTGCCATCTGCACATCCGCTGCCGGAAATGAAGAGAGTCTGCGGGAGTTCTGCGCCGGGAAGAATGGATGCGACAAGCAGCAGCACCACCAGCAGCAGCTGCATCTGCAGCAGGAGGGGTCGCAGCATTCACACGAGCAGGTGAAGCGGCAGCAGCAGCAGCCTCTCTTGGTAACTGACATGTACCGCATTGCGTCTCAAGAAGAAGTGTAGCTGCATGTGCAGCGCGAGCAGCGGAAGACGAACAGTAGAGATTTGGTTGCTGCTGCTTTGCCTATGGTGATTACCACTGTTGCGGCAGCAGGTGCCATGTTCGCTGCTGCAGCTACACTGATTTCTGCAGCTGTGGCAACTTTGAGGCGTACAGTTACCCCACAGCGCGAGAGCGAAGCGCGAAGCCTATTCGCTTTTTCACCAGCGCAGCACTTCAATTTATGCACACATCGCTACTTTGTATTCTTTAAAGGGAAGTCAACAGGATGGCTTTAGCCTCTGCAACTGATGCAGTCAGTGGTGCAGTCCCTGCATCTCGGACGCAGCCTGATGCATGTGTTGCCGCCGAAGCAAACTGTGGTGTATTCTGGGGGAAGCTGCTTGTGGCGGCTCTTCTTCTTCTTTTGAGGGGACACGAGCAGCAAGTGGCCATATGAAGGCCCTCTTCCTTTCCACGTGTCCATCTTCCCTTCTGTGTGCATTCCTCGTTGTTTCGCCTCTCTTACGGCTTCCACCAGTCCTGGTGTATCTCCAGTCAAGTCGAAGCGAACTTTAGCTTTGCCTTCTTCGTAACCTGAAGAGTACCCTATGAGTTTAGTGCTAATAGGGAATGAGAGGTTCCAGCTGCTGCAGTTTACGGGTCACCCCACACTGGGCACAGCCTCTGCGCATCCCGGAATACTGAATTGTGCACCTATATATATATATATATATATGCGTCCAGATACCTATGCGCTGCAACACGCAAATATATATATATATATATGTATATATACATGTTATATATATACATATATGTATATATATGTATATATATCCTGGTACTCAGGTACTTACGTGCTGCAACACAAGAATATAACAATATATATATGTATATATATATACATATATATATATATATATATATACATAATGACTGCGCTCAGGCGCGGCATCGGCTGTATTTGGTAAGGAGCCCGTAGCGCTATGGTGCCAGACGACCCTTTCTGTCGTCTGCCCCGTTCTTTGCTTCTTCTTATTTTTCACGATTCAGTATCTCCGTGATGTTCCTGGCTGGTGCATAAATAGAGCGATGTCGTACTCGACATCGCTTTGCATCTCTCTCATCTCCTCTTCTGTTCTAAGGAGAAGGTCGCCACTACGAGCAGCAGACGAGTGGCAACTGCAGCGAGTGCTTCTGTGAGGACAGCCGCTCCAGCAGCGGTGCGTGCTGCTGCAACAGCAGCTGCTGCGGCAGCGATGCACGTACAAATTAAGAGAAGTGGAGGAACCTTGCCTCCCTGCTAGGGAGACGTACGTTGCAGCAGCTCAGAAGTAGCAGCAGCAATGGCGGCTTCGCAGCCGCTCGTTGCAGCTCTCCGCCTTGCCATAATGGAGCCCGCTTGAGTCTTCCCTCTCCTCATAAACACGCAGGAGCCTTTCTGCAGCTGAGGCTCCCAAGATTTCTCTCAAGTGTTCATCTTAGTGTAGACTATGCAACTGCTTGGGGCTGCTGCTACTACTGCTTCTTGCGCTGCCACAGCTGGTACAGCAGCGCAGGTCGCACAACGACGTGGGATTAAGGCGGCCGCTGCACCTGCCCCTCGTGCTTCACATATAGCTGGTGCTGCTGTTGCAGCAGTTGCAGCTTTTGCGGACCTTGCTAATTGGTTGAGAGTGCTACGACTCCTACTATTGCGGCACCTGCCGCTACGGATTAAACAGTTTTGCTGCTGTAGCACCTTGTGTGTCTTTTACCCAAAGAGAGAAACCATACCTAAGCCCAGACGAGATGAAGCGAAGCTGCTAATGTATGCAGATTGCTACGCTCTTGGGAATCCGTTGCGTCCACCGCAAACACCAGAAACACGGGAACGAGATTTCAAGGTTCTAAACTAAGAAAATACCATAAAACACAACAGACGTACTGAGGAGACGACATCGACAAGGGCCGAGTGCTCAGGGGTTGTTCATATCTTTGGGTGAGGAGGCAGAAAAGCAATTTGAGTTTTGCTGCCCTCTTTTTAAAAGTTCAATTTGGGCAGTTAAATGCTCTAAAGAAGCCCACAAAGACAGGCTCCTCTCTTGAGGCAGCAGCAGTAGCAGCTGCTGCTGCTGCTGCTGCCTCTGCGGCTACGACACGGAAAAGCATATCCGGTGTTCGCGCCACTCCTTCGCATTAACAATAACAACTACTACACGATACAGGCGTTGCAGCAACGGATACTGATCGTTCTGAAGGGCAACTCGGCTGTCGGCTGCTGCCGCTGCTGCTGCCGCTGCTGCTGCTACGTAGTAGCAGCAGCAGCAACAGGCGTGCAGCAGCGCATAACTGCTTTGATTCCTCTCCCACTTGCAACTCCTGTGGCTTTACCGCAGTATGTTTCGAATGAGTAGCTACAGCTTCTAACCCTATGATTTCTCCAGCAACAGCAGTCACCTCCTGAGAAGTTGCTGCGGCTGCGCAGGCGCCGGGCAGCAGCGACCGTGCTGGTGGCACCAGCAGCTGCTGCTCATTGTAAATCATTTCTTTCAAGGGCCTTCATTACACGGGAGACCCTGGTGCAGCAGAAGGAGCAGCAGCAGCGGCTGCTGCTGCTGCACGCTCTGCCTGTGTTTGGGGGGGGGGGGGG